GTTTCTGTGTCACCCTGTGTGTTTGCTTTTGCTCTGTGCTGCTTTGAGAGTCATCTTTTGAGTTGTCACTTCTGTGTAAATACCTGGATGGCTGTAACCATGCCGTTTAAATACGTGGTAGTGATGATTTTGTCCTCGCTGTGTAACGTCTGTGTGACATCCTTTCTTTCCTTTGCACCACCCTCCATTTCTGTGTGGGTTCTGACAAGGCTGCAGACCTGACTGCTTTATTCAGTCCATCTGGAGAAGTCATCAGGCTGCAGATGCTTATGAGGCTGTTGGAACAAATTGAGGTGAAAGAGTACTTGAGCTGTTCTCGGTGTTGAGTCAAAGCACAGGAAGTCTGCCAGAAGACCTTGAAGACAAGGGGTTCGGGCAGATCCCCCCTCCCCAGTCCTGCCTCCGCTCCCTTCGCAGGGCTCGGCTGGCTGCTGCCTTGCTGGGGCATAGCGAGGTGTCCCTCTCCTTTTTGAGCGCAAAGGGATGAACTCTTGAGTTTGTTTTGCGATAGTAAGTATAGCTGTTGGCTATGGGAGACATTACCATATGCCACTTCCTAAACTGTTCCTCCTGTCTGCTGTGCCACCCAGTGATTGCGCGCTCTCCTTCCACAGAAGATGCAAAGCCTTGAGGCTCTGTAATCAAATGGGTTGCGTGGAACATGTTGTGGCAGAGATGCAGGAGGTCACCCGAAAAGATACATATCTGCTGTCCTGTTTTTTTTTTTTTTTTTCTGGTAAACTCAAGGCTTTGTAAAGTCAAGGCCTCAAACAAAGCTACAGCAACCTCAAACGAAGCTGCAGCAACATGAGAAAGCTCAAGTTTGCAGTGCTTGTATTTAGAGTACTGCAGCCAAATTCTGTCAGCCACTCAGTATACTTCAAGGGTCATTCGTAGGCGTCAGAGAAGATCTCAAGACAATAATAGTGCTCTATTTTAGCATACTCATTACAAAGTATAACTGCCCTCTCTGCCTCTAGCAACTATTTTTTCCTCGTACTCAAATGGTGCAGAAGCGGAAAGGCCGTCGTCGTAAGCAGCAGTATTACTTCTCTGCCTAATTCCCTCATTGTCTTTTTAAATGAGACCTTTTTCTTTCTCCGCAGACTCGTATAAGGAAAATAACCTTCAGCAAAAAGATGCTTTGCAGTGGTGTGCTTGTAATTATTGGTGTATTCATCTTGAAGAAAAAGCAATCAAACTACTGGGCTTTTTATGCTGATGGGGAGCTGTGCTGGGAGATTGATGCCTTTCATGAAAGGAGACGTAGTTTTGAAAGAAATTGAAATGCTGTTTACAAATCATGAGAGAAGTAACATCTCGCCATTGTTAATGTAGAGTAGGAGTGAGACAGTGGGTTCCTGTCCTCATCCTGATTTCTTTAGTTTCTCTAACTAATGGGCCTGTGACATATCTGGAGAGCGTGGGGTTTGCTGTATGGCTGAATACAAAAGGACAAGAGGATCTTCTGAATTCCTTCCAGTGTCAGTGCAGGAGGTGGACGCTTTTGAGTACAGAAGATAGCTGTGGTGTGGAGGGGAGCCTCTGTAACAGCTGATCCTGCTGTGCCAGGGTAGCTGAAGGTGTTCTGCAAAACACAGAGAGCACAAGGAGCGCAGTCCCTGTGGTTGCAAGGTAAAGGCTCATGAAGGGCATCAACTGCCTTCTGCCCCAGGTGCTGAAGAAGGAAGAACCTTTTTAATGTGTTACTTATCTCTTCTTAAAGAGAAGTGCTCATCTCGCCTCTACTGGTTTTAATTTTGTATCTTGTGTGATGTTTTTTTTATCCTGCTTTTTCCTGCAGAAGCAACAGTTCTTTGATGTATTCTTATGCAGTATCAAAGCAACTTAAAAAAAAGTTAAATGAGATGTTTCAATTAATAATACAACATTGTCTCCCATATACATATTATTCTTTCCCAGTTACAGCTTACTCCTGGACTCTGAAGGGGCAAGATCTCCTTGTGATCCCATTGCTTTGACCAGTTTGGAGGGTTATTTTCTGGCCTTCCCTTTGTATACAATCTTCAGAAAAACTCTATGCTCCCAGTTCCATTGAGGTATCTCTCCATTGTTTCCTGTAGATGTGCTCAATAAATATTTAATAAAGAGGGGGCATTCATTGTCTCATACGCAATAACCTTTCTATTAAGAATTCTGAAGTGTTCTCTGCTCCTGTTCTATGACAGCCAAGGAATAAGTAAAAATTCTCCACCCTGTTGTTAATGTGTCTGACGTAAGACTTTTGAAAGCAGAGAGTGCTGAGGATATGCAGTGTATCCTTCAAGTGATGGACAAAATCACGACAACCCTAAAGCCAGTAAAGGCCAGAAACATAAGTAATAACTAGATCAACGCTCCAGTACCGTCTGTAACTCTGCCCCTGGGAGAAGGATCCTTCCAGCTGGAAAGCTGCGGTATTTGGGATTTAGGCAGCAGGAACTCTTATTTTGGTAAATGCTCCTCAGAACAACATAGCTCATCACTGGGAAAGGTATTTAAAAAAAAAACTCTTGTATCTTCCATCACTTCTGTCACTCTATGCTTACTCTGTATTGAACTCTGTGCTGTCAGAGCGCTGTTCTGTCAGTGTTGTGCATCTCCAGCTCGATTCAAAACCAGCCGTGACCTAGGCAGTAACGCTTGACTGCGGTAGAGGGTGGTGAGCTTTGAGATAATGGCAAGGTACTGCTTTTACTAAAGGGAAGCAGCCCCTTGAAGTAATGCTATTTAAATTCTGGGATGAAATCTGCATGGATTTTTAGGAGGGGGGGGAAAAGCTTTTGCTGCTCTGAAATTCTGCTGCTAATCTAATTTCTATGTGATTGCCTCCCGTTGCATCAGTCAGTGCTATTTGGTGCAGTGCTGCTTATGGGTTTGGAAAGTGCTGTAGATAAATGTAGCGTGGGAATAATCACTCAACTTCATTTTCCTGCTCTTTCTCTGTTAACACATGTCACTAGTATTGACAGCTCTGCAGAATGGTAGAATCAAGCCCTTATGTCTACACAACACCCCATGCATGTGCATCATCCTGACAGGATAATGAGGCTCCGCAGTGTGCACGTCCTCTGCGTTGCCAGTAGGCAGATATGAAATGTTACTGGCAAATGTGAATACAAGTCAGAGAAGAAGTCCTGGAAGAGTTTTAACGTGGCTGCCAGGTCCCGAGTTCCCATAAGGTTCAGCTGGCGTGCCACGGTGCAATGTGGGAAGAGTCTCTGATACTTTCTTAGAGTACCGAGCAATTAATTTGGGCAAGCATGGAGTTGTATGCATACAGTAATTAACAAGGAAAGCACCTTAGGCCAGCATAATAACAAGGTGGTGTGGGTGTCCTTCATTTTGAGACTGTTCCATGTAATTGCAGCAATTTAACTGACTTGATCAATGTAACACCCCTGTGTAGTCATGTAAGCATGCCATTAGGCAGGTATTCTTAAAAATAGGTTAAATGCAATGGGCTCTGCCCAAAAAAGTACCTGCCCTAGGGCACCTTATTTAAATAAGAATACGTAGCCCTGTGTAAACTGTCAGCAGTAATCCTTTTACAGGGCTGAGTAAATTCTGAAGCTCTGACATGTAGACCGGTTCTCTTCCTTATATAGGGCTGGATAAGTGCTGAGCAGTAATGAGATTGGAATAAAAGGCTTTGGTAATGAAGATGAACTGGCAGTCCCAACTGAATCTTAAACTTATCCCTGCATATACATGAACTTCAAACAATACGAGCGCGAGTCCTGCTTGCTGAAGTCAGACTTGATGCCGCTGTTTTGGAGCTTCTGCTTGTGAGTAGCCCTGCTTGGGCTGCAGGTTCACCCAGATGGAAAGCCCAGTACTCTTTAGGTTTGCCTGTACTGAGGCTTAACTGTGCATGGAAAAAAAATTATCTAGCAGTTATGCACATCAAAACATTTTTAGTGTAATATATCGGGATGGTTCTTATTCCAGAGTGGCTGGGTTTGTTTTTGTTTCATTGGATGAAGTTTAAGCTGCACTAGTAGAAGCCATTCTATTCTGAAATAAGAGAATGTGTATGGGATACCAAATTAATGTAATTTTATCTGGTTTAATTCACCATGTATCTTATACTTCCCTTGTGCAGACAGAATTATTAGTGTTCTGCCTAAAAATATCTGTGGAAGTACTGGTTCATGTGGTCAAGGAAAAATGTCATCTCTACTCCCTTGTCTGTCCTTGATGAATTTATACATCGACAGCTTCAGTGCAAGAAAACCATGCTGGAAGTGCATGAATCAACTGACAGATACTAGTCCTAGAAAGTCTCAGCGTAAATGACTGATGTAGGTAAGAGATGCCAGGAATCAAGAGAAAAGCAAAGGCAGCTTTGAAAATTTGAAATTGTTTTACTTACTTTCTTGTTTACTCTCTTAGAAAAGTCAGGGATGAAATCTGGCAAAGAAAGAGAGGAGGCTGGGGGGTTGATTGAGAGGGCTGCTTATGAAGAGGCAGTACAAATGTGAACTGAAGGAAAATGGGCTTGTTCTGCACTGTGGCATCTTCAGGTAACTTAAGCAGTTACTGGATCTGCTCTCTGATTTCTTAAAGATACAGAGGCTGGAGGAAGGTGCAGGTAAGGAAAGGAGGTGGTGAGTGGGTGGTTTGATTTTTACCTGGGTGCACCTGAGCTGTTTCTCATAAAGCAGTACAAGTCAGAGTGGGTGAGCATGGAACAACTTAGAAAATTTTTTTTTGGAGAGTGACTCATAGCAACTTACCCAAAGTGACCTGATTTAGTTAAATGAATCTAAATATAACCCATGTGAAAAGTACTGACATGTGGGAGGAGACGACAGCAGTTGGCTCTCAGCCTCTCTGTTCTGCAAGGAACATCTTTCACGACTGGTGACTAATAATTTTTACTCTTGCTGGCTTTGGAAATAACATCTCTGCTCCATCACCCCCTTCTAGGGAGACAAAGAAAATGCGCTAGTCCTAATCTGTTGCCTCTTATCTGCCTTTCTGAATTTCAGCTTACTGCTATGGACAGTGCTATCACCCTGTGGCAGTTCCTCCTCCAACTCCTCCAGGAGCCTCAGAACAAGAATATCATTTGTTGGACCTCCAGCGACGGGGAGTTCAAACTGCTGCAGGCAGAGGAGGTGGCCAGACTCTGGGGAATCCGCAAGAACAAGCCCAGTATGAACTATGATAAACTCAGCCGTGCTCTCAGATACTATTATGTGAAGGTAACAAAGTCCATAAATCCACCTCAAATCCTTATCCATCTTACCAGCTTCTGCCTAATGAGCTTTGTTTCCTTTTTCATTCTCTTCAAGGAGATAGGTGTCACTTCTGTCTCCCAGACTTAAGTAAGGTGTACAAGTTGTATGTGTAGAGGTGTTGTTTTTTCTTTACATTATTATTGTGCTGCATTTCCTCCCTAGTGGTTATTTCATAAGGTTCTGGGTAGCTTTGTGCAAAATGTTACTGTCTGTGATTTATGTCTTTGCTAATACAAATCTGTCTTTGAATGCTAATCCCCTTTCCAAAAATATGTGCCCTTGCAAGAGTTAAAATCCTCAACACTCCAGTTTAAGCAACAGAATGATTATGATTGAGGTGGTGAATATTGCACTACCTTGAGATCCCTTCTGCAATTGTCTCTACAAAGGGGCTATCAAAATAAGGATTTTCAGTGAAGCAGCCCAAAGTATTTTCCTTTTTTCCATGTATTCAGAATCGTGCCTCTGATGTGGTCAGTGAGTTTAGTCCAGCAGAATAAGATGCTACCGTTTAGCTAACATCTCTTAATAACTTGTGAGAGCCTTTCATTAATGCACAGGTAGTGTCCAAAAGCTGAACTAGAACCACAGTGGGGGAGTCTTACCTTTGTTTCAATAAACCATTTATCCCACAACTGTTACTGTGTGAGCATAGGAGAGAAAAAATAAAATACAGTTTTGGAGGAACCTGTCAGTTATAGCAGGTGGTATGCTGCTTGGAGTTTATTATTAGGTAGCACAAATCTGACTTTGTACTGAGAGGTCTCAATAATAAGATGATTCTTATTTGTCATACAATTATTAGGTCCAAATTGTGTGTGGCATTTTGCTTAGGAGCAAAACAAGTTTGACACATGTTATTTTGTGGTATTGAAATAGCTGATTAGTTTACATTCTGCTGACTAGTTCAGCTACTTGGCTTTATTCTTATTAAGAATAAAGGTGGCTTGATTTGAAGTATTAGCTCTTAATTCTGCAAACCTGTAAGCTTTAATTCTGCAGGTTCTCCTGTTAGATTATGTTTACTGTACCCAGGTCAGTGATCTCTGGGGGTATCAGGTATTTTTTTGTTTCTTAGCTCATCTTTTAAAATATGTTAAACAGAATTGCTTGGCAGTTTTAACTCTGCTGTTAGTATATTTAGCGTCAGGTTAAGCTCCCCTGTTTTCAGCATTTTGTGTGCAAGCTCTGGTAGTGATACTTTGGGACCATAACTGGATTGCAAGAATGCAGTGTGTTTTTTTTCTCAAAAAAACCCCAAACAAACCAACAAACTTTTTGAAAGATTACAGACTATCTAATTCCTCAGTCTGTTTTAGGCAGTGTCGGTAGGAAGAAAACTAATCTGAAGAAGGTCTAAACATATCTATCTTCTTACCCACAGAATATCATTAAAAAAGTGAATGGTAAGAAGTTTGTGTACAAGTTTGTTTCTTATCCGGAGATTTTAAATATGGATCCACTTGTCGTGGGCCGTATAGAAGGAGACCCTGAAATGACTGGTTTTGCGGAAGTTAGCAGTGCTCCAAAGGATGTGGAAAACTGCGGGAAGGAGAAGTCTCAGTCCTGTGCTAAATCCTCCAGCCGCAATGACTATATCCACTCAGGCTTGTACTCCTCTTTTACTCTGAACTCCCTGAACTCTTCCAGCATAAAACTCTTCAGGTCCATCAAGATTGAGAATCCAGCTGAGAAACTAACAGAGAAGAAACCTGCTCAGGATCCAACACCTTCTGTCATCAAGTTTGTAACCATGCCCTCCAAAAAGCCTTCATCTGTCCCCTTGGTCTCTACCACTTCAACAGTCTCTGCCACTTCCACTGCTTCTGCCACTTCAACCACATCCTCTCTTCCCATGGGATCGGAAGAAACTCTCCAGACCTTGGAGACGCTTGTTCTACCCAAGTTAACTGTCCCTGAAGCTCCAGCACCTTTGCCAAACTTAACCACCAGCTTCACCCCAACTCCACCCATATCCTCAGTTTCTCCCACTCTGCAAGTTCCTTCCACACCCCCGTCGCCACCCCTGAGCTCTAATCCTGACCTGGACATTGACACAGACATAGAGTCCGTGGCTTCTCAGCAGCTGGAGCAGGCTCAGAGCCTTCAGCATCAATCCCCAGAGCCCAAAGAACAGGATTCTTCTGTGCTGGAGAAGGAATTTGCCAATCACCTCTCCAGATCTAAAAAACCCAAAGGGCTGGAGTTGGCTCCTACTCTCGTCATTACAGGCAGCGATCCAAGTCCACTGGGGATTCTGAGTCCTTCTCTCCCAACTGCTTCTCTTACTCCAGCACTTTTCTCTCAGGTAACCTAATTCCCTTCCTGTTGGGTTTTTTGATTTGTTTTGGGTTTGCTTTGGTTTTGTTTTTTTAGTAACAATAGTGGTTATGTTATATTTTAAAACAGTAAGGGAAGGCAAGTGGAAAATGAATAGTCAGTAGACTGTATTTGGAGTTCTGAAGCTCAGGATGTCACTCCCATTTTTCTTATAAAACAGAAACTTTACTCATAATCGGCATTAGCTTCCACCCCAAAGTGTGCCCAAGTGGTATGTCAGCTGTACGTGTCTGTACGCTGTTAGCGTGTGGAGGCAAAACCCAAACCAGCCCCAGCAGGGTCCTTTGTAAACCTTGCCAGGGTGGTATTGAATTATTTCAAAAACCCCAAACCCTGCCCTTATCCTTCAGGCTGATTCTGAAAATGCTTTAAGAATAGAGAACCACGGCAGTGTCTGTTTAGCAGCTCTCTATTGCTTGATTTCGTAGTCATTTACTTAAGATCAGAGTATTGTGTCTTAACAGCAATAAGAACAGCTGCTTAATTTGGTTGTTAGCCTTGAGAGGAAAAGGAAAGCTTTTATGCCTCATGGAAAATTTGGAAGAGAACTGAATCCAACTAGGCTGTTAAATTGTTCTGTATATATTTAATCTCTTTCCTGTAATAAATTTTGAATTAGAGTGAAACTGTTGATTGAAAACTAAAATGGTTGAAGACAGGAAAAAAAAGCAAGTGCAGTTGCTCTTTTGGCACCCTTTGAAGTGTTTGGCCGGTGAATCTGGAACATCCAGAATATTCGGAAGCTGGATGTAAATGTCTTTTGTTGTGGCTTGCGCCGTCAGTGTCGCCCAGACCATGTGTGTGCCCACTGTCTGCTCTTTTTTTTAAATTCATGGACTGAGTTTTCCAAAGTCACTTGCAGGTGCTGTGTACTGAATTGCAGGAGGAGCTGACTTGCTGTAGGTTATGCAGGATTTGGCAGCTGCTGGGAAAAGAGGGCCAATTGCTCAGCAAGGGGAGGGAGAGCCAGATGGCGGGGGCTGCTGCTGCTGCTGCGGGGTTTGAAGGGAGGAGGTGGAAGGAGGCAATGGGAGTTCCCGAAATTCAGACCCAGCCCTCCGCAGCTGTAGGAGCTGAGATTATCGTGGCTGGATTTACATGTGCTGTGTGTTACAGTGTGGGTCTCGCGCAGCTGACAATCTTCATGTGTTTTGCAGACTCCCATCTTGCTGACCCCAAGTCCCTTGCTCTCCAGTATTCACTTCTGGAGTACGCTAAGCCCGGTTGCTCCTCTCAGTCCTGCAAGGTTGCAAGGTGCTAATACGCTCTTTCAGGTAAGTCCCAGCGAGGTTAGCCCATCTCTCCCTTTGAGCCTTTCTATCCCCTATGTTGGCTTTTCGGAGCGTTTAATTGTAGTGTTTACCTAGTTTTATTTAAGTATATTGTAAATGTTGGTATTTCAGAAATGTTTTAAAGTAATAGCAGTCTGTGCTATAGTTAGGTATATTTTCTTTTAGGTCTGTCTTTCCCATAAAACTTGCCTCCCTGTAACCTCACTGGTTGAGATTTTCCTGGAAATTGCATTTTGCTACACTCTTGGTGGTTTTAATCATTTGTTAACAGTCTCCTCTGTTGAAAGATATTAATTAAATCTCAGTACTAGTAAGAAGGAAGATTGTGTGTGTGTGACGTCTGTGGCAACATATAGCACAGTTCTTTATGATCTCTATATTCTGCTGTTTTCTGCTGTTTGGAAATTGTCAGCTTTACTGTTTTTAATAAATATTTTTCTTAAGAAAAAATCCCCTATATTAAAAAAAAAAAATCCTTTAGTTGTAATTACTCACGTTCTTCCTTCACCTTCTGCTTTGGAATTGGAATAACCATATCTGTTGCCTGAGTCTGCACAGGGAAAGGGTAAAACTTAACTAGTTGGTTTTTGGGTTTCTATCTGTCATCACCATGGAGATGAAGGAAGTAGCTTACATGTACCGTGAGGATAGGGAATAAACAAGTAGGTCTGAAAATGCATTGGACATTTTTCTCTATAAATAGCTGATAATTAACTGAGGAACAACTTAGACCGTCGTTCCCACCAACCTGTTTTAAAGTCACACACTAGTTTAGGACATAGGCGGTGCTGAGTGCAGAGGTTCCAGACTGGGTCCCCGTGGTGACACTGGTTGTAGTAGCTGCATCGGTGCAGTTGGTGATGCAGTGTCATTTAAAAAGTAAATTACTTGGGGGAAGCCAAGAAGATTATTTGAAAGTTTGGGGTGGCTTTTTTTGTTGTTGTGTTTCAGTTGTGGTTGTGTGTTGGTTTTGGTTTGTTTTTTTTTTCTGGGGTAGCTGCCACATGCACAGATGAGAGGAACAGTAAATTAAAATGGCTTCTTCCCTAATAATTTTTGTTTTGTCTCTTAGTTTCCATCAGTGCTGAACAGTCATGGCCCATTTACTCTGTCTGGACTGGATGGACCATCTACCCCTGGCCCGTTTTCCCCTGATCTGCAGAAGACATAGCACATGAACTCACGGAAAGGACATATTGGCAAGCAAGGGAAAGATATGACACTTATATTTAACCGTGTTTTTTTAAATGAACAATTTATAATTCCACAGAGATTATCAACAATCATAGTTTTTGCCATTCCCAAATAAAATGCCTTTTTTGCAAAATTCCCTTTTTTGAAGACCCAGGTTGGGAATGTATATTATGCAAACGCCTTAATAGGAGCTGAAGCTCCAGTCTCTTCTCTTCCCTCCTTGGTTTGGAAGACTTCACTATGGTTTAATGGAGTTTTGACTGGTGTTGCAGTAACTGAGTCTGCACTGATTGCAGTAAACAGTATCAGAGAAGTCTTTTCTCTGTGACTCTTGGAAAACCCCTCTGTTCTGCTTCCTGTGCTTGGCAAGAAGAAATCTAATCGTGATCGAAGCTGGCATTCCAGGAAATGCTTTGGGAAAGGGGCGTGTGCATCGGCTTTGCCTTGAGGCCTGATAACTTCTGCAGCAACAAAACAGCCTGCGTCTTTTCTGCTGTAAAAACATCTTGTCTTTTTGCAGGGAGAAATTTTCAAGGAATATTCAATGATTTTGTTATTGAGATATGGACAATTTTTGAATGGCATTGTATACCGACAGTCCAGCCCCTCGGAGAAGTTGTCTGGCTAGCTTCTGGATGCTTCCCTGCCCTCCCTTCGGTGAGGAGGCGAGGTCTGGAGATGGATGAATGGTGTGATTAATTCCTTTCAGTTTTCAGAAAGTTTGAATGCTGAAGTCCAAACATTTCTTGTGCTAGAGACCTGTTACAAAGCCTGTAATCTCACTGCTAGAAGATTAGCAGGACGGTGGATTTTACATGAGGTTTTGAGGGTGTGTCTGTATTTGAGGTTGCTGCCTGATGCTAGAGTTTCAGACCCAAACAGTGGGTGAGAACACTAACGTCTCAGCATTAACGTTACTGCTCTTTTCCCACAGTTGAAGTGGAGAAGCTCGTCTTCTACCAGTCTTATCTCAAGTTTTGCTATAGATTACTGCTTTTTTTTTTTATTTGAAGAAGCGCTCAAGCCCAAAGTTAGGCTCAGTGTGTACAGCTAGCTGAGAGAGGTACCACGGCATATCAACCTTACTGTAAATTTGTGCTTGCATTGCTTTTGTTGGTGGCCGTGTGCATATGGGTTAGTACAAGATTAGTATCCAAAGGCATTTGAAACACCGATGAAATGAAATTTGTAGTTAGATCTTTAGACCTCAGGAGGCCTTTTAAGAGGACTGAGGCATGAAAGAAGAAACACTCTCCTCTCGTGGCCCCTCAGAGACTGTATGTCTTAGTCTGGTGGTGCTGGGCGCTGTGCCCTTCCGCTTTGGGCATCTGATGTCAGGCAGCAACTTCTGTTTGCTACTGTGTACACTGAGTTGGTGACATGAGATAATCTCCATAAAATGCGCACTAGAAAACAGATGGAGACCATCTCTTTCCTTTGGCATCCTCACTGGCTGTCCTCAAAGTTTTAATGAGCAGAGGAAGATTGTACCTTTACAGCAAGAGGAGCTGGCAGTGTATGCTGTATATATTGTACCTGTCTTACGGATAAGTGGTGAACTCGAGCTTTCCAGAGTTTTCCTTTTGCCACTCTTGCAGACTCTGAATTCACTTTAAAGCGTATGACAATACCCAAGATTAATTTACTGCAGTGACGTTATCTTCTTCTATTCTAGCATTGAAATATGTAAACCACTTAGTATGTTCCTGACATGCCACCCGAGGCAGGTGGGTGTAATGGAGTTGCTTTTTGGGCATTGTTCATCCCTGAACAATGGGTCCACTGCCCGGTGGGAGAAAAGAGTATGCCTGTCTTTAGGTGGAGATAGCAGGGAGTGAGCTCATGTAGCGAACTGTCTTCCTGTTCGGTTATGTCAGAGGTATAATACTGCTTTGCGTTTTAGACAGCAGCAGATGCAGGATAAAGTTCCTATGCCAGTGGCTCTTAAAATGACAATGTGCAATATTGACCTTTTTTTGTTTTTAGATGCAGAAAGCAAGCTGCGGATCATAATTAAGAGCAGGCACCTGGAATTTTCTGGTTTGCATGATGGCTTGTGAGTCTGCTCTGGAAAATATATATAGCTATGTATAAATAGCAGCACTTTTAATGTTGTTTTAGGTTGGCCAATTTTATGCCCACCAAGTATGTGGACTTGAGCAACATTGCAGACTAGGATTAGAATTTAAAAATAGTTAATGAGCACTAAAGACTTGCAATTTAATTGCTTCCCTTTCCTTGTCCCCTATGGAGAAAAGCCAAGTTTATTTGTTTAAAAGTTGTGTATGTGCACACATGCACTTAATTTTTTGTAAACTGTTATCACTTTCAGCGTAGGTATGCAAGAGAACCAAATGCTAATAGCTTGTCAGTTGTGCTTGGCCTAGTTTCACGCTCTTCTCCGAGTAGCTTCGTAAGATTGCACTGCCATAGCTGGTTGATGAGATACACGTTTCCTTTGGGAATACCTTCTTCAGAGAAAGTTAATATGAAAATTGCAGCCTGTATGTGTTTGGTTTCAGTCTGGTAAGATCCAACTTCCTGACAGATAGCACTGAGAAGATGATTGCTTTTGTTTCTTGAGCACCTCAGGAGGCAGTTGGGAAAGCAAGTTGAAAGGGGGGGAGGCGTGAGAGGAGAGGCTTGCTCACCTTTTCTCCATTACAACTTTCAGGTCACTTAAGGTAATATGATCATGTATATATGCTGCCTCATTAAACACACACTTACTAACAAGTATAGAACTGCCAGCTCTTTTGGACCACATTCCTGACAGAGCACAGTGTCACTGTGACTTCTTGGAGCTTGGTTATGTGAATTGCTGGTACTTTCACTAGCTCACTTCAGGAGCAGTTTGCAGCTCGTTGCAACTTGTTTTTAATTTAGTGTAGGGAAGGCGGGGGCTAATATAGGCTCTTTTTTAATTATCGTATTAGCAGTCTGTAATATGGGTATAGTACTGTGTTGGTTTACAAAAATAATAACGCAGCATTACGGAAACATTTTATTACATTGCAATTCATGTTGCTGAATTAGCCATGGTATTGTTGAATGCTTGATAATATTTGCATCGGTTAATTCATAGATGGTGGTAGAATTAGACTGGATGAGCACGGAAGCTGAACATCTGTCTTGCTTCTGGAAATCTCTTTTACATATCACTGCTGCTGTATAATAGTACTGCAGAGTTGAAAAGCTTGCACTGCTGTTGCTGTGTGTGCTATGTCTGGCTTTGTTTGAGATCCTGAACTGTCAGGATGCCACTAGCAACACGTGCTGCTAGCAGAAACAATCCATGGAAAGCAGAAATGTGTTGTTAATACCTTGCAGTTGGAGAACCGTACTTGTTCTGTCTTACCTGTTTGCAGAGAATGGGATCCTAGTAATGATGGAGGAAAGTGTTTTGGTTTTTTTCCTTAACAGCAGCTTAAGTCTAGATCCTTGTTTCAGAAATTGGTCTTCAGCAAGTGACGGCTGAATGTAATTCCTATGCACTGTCTTTGGCACATTCAAGTTGCATTTTGCAATAGGTCAGGAAGTGATAAAATGCCCTGAATTTGAGAATTCATTGTTTTAACTTGGAGCATCCTAAGACTTTGGTATCCGTGCAGTCTTTGGTATAATGGACTGTGCGTTATAATATGAAAGGCTTTGGCTGTTCAGTGGTTTGTTCGGGATAATTCCTCCCTCTGGTATGTTTTCAAACCTCAGATATCTAGCAAATAGATTCTTCTTGGGGTTTTTTTGTGTTCATTTTAACCACAGTGAAGGCTGCTTACGTGCATATCTTCCTTTACACGGCTCTTCAAAATGCAGTGAGATGCATTAATGTCAGATTCCCTCATGACTTCAACTTTCATGCGAGAACTTCTGCAGGTTGAGATCGGATGAAAGAGCTAGCCTAGCACATTGATGCAGTTTCTCAGGTGAGCACAGGTGCAGAGTTCTGATCCACTTCTGTAGCATTTTTCTAGTGCTGAGGTCAGAACCTACAATTCTGACAATCTGTTGGCTACCCGTGGTTTATTCATATTATCTTTTAGTTACCTTTTGCTACTGTTTTATAGCATTTTTGTATGTACTCATGTTTTACTATACAATTTAACCTCTTCCATTTTTAATGCGTATTTGTTTACAAGACACATCTCAGTGTTGTATCAAGAGGCTATCTTGGTATTGTCAGCTATGAAAATAAACTACGTCAGTAGTTAAGGAACATTGTCAAAGCTGACAGGTATTTCAAAACTTGATGTTTGAGTTCTGGGTGTCCATGACAATTTTGTTCTGTTTTTGTTCCTTAGTTCTCCTGTATAAGAAATACACGTTCCTTCTGGCCTCTGAGGCCATGGGTATGGATAGTTTATTTTGTCTTAATCATCACGGAGCGTAGTATTGCAAACGAACAGCCCGAGCCCCACGGGACCTTACACTCGGCAAATAAGTTGAAAATCCATTAGAATTGCAATTGTGTTGCTTAGAAGCTATTCAGGATCTTTTAATAAGGTATAGTATGTCTTGCCTAAACGGGAATTTTTATGGTTTGATTTGAATTTAAAGAGTAATTGGCGATGGCTGCTGTTTAGTCTGAACAGTATTAGCAAATCTGCTTAATGTGGAAGCCTTTGGCTATTGCCATCAAGTTGAGTGGTGGTTAATATGTGACATGCTAAAGTTGATCTGCTAAAATCAGAGGCTGTCAGATGAAGATTAAAAGATAAAATGCAGTGACAGTTGTTTCACACTTGCCTAAATGGGAATTTTTATGGTTTGATTTGAATTTAATTAAAGAGTAATTGGCGATGGCTGCTGTTTAGTCTGAACAGTATTAGCAAATCTGCTTAATGTGGAAGCCTTTGGCTATTGCCATCAAGTTGAGTGGTGGTTAATATGTGACATGCTAAAGTTGATCTGCTAAAATCAGAGGCTGTCAGATGAAGATTAAAAGATAAAATGCAGTGACAGTTGTTTCACACAGCC